GCACAGAGGTAATCCCAAGACCAACAAGAGCACCCGATACCACTCGGCTAAACACCTAACCACGTGCCCTAACAAGTCACGGTTGGCTACCCCTACAGTCGGTTCAGATGAGTACCGGTTGCCTAAGTCACAGGGGCCAGGGGAGCACTGGGGAAGAGCACACACAGGAAGATTGAAGCTTACCGAAGTGGAGAGTGAGCAAAGGAGGGGAAGAAGCGGGAGCGGAGCGCTGGCCGTGGGTGCAGGCGACAGAAACCCCGGAGCAGGCCGAGCAGTCCGTAAGGAGAGGCGGTGGTCTCGGAGAGTCTTGTCGAGGTGTCCGTCAAGGAGGGTGGCGATGGCCTCGGGGACTGGAGTCGACGGGGTGGTTCGGGAGCGGAGCACGGGAGGTCTTGCTTCCTCGGAGGCTGGAGTCGAAGTGCCCCTGAGCTGTCCCTGGACTGTTAAGGAAAACTCTCCCCCTGTGGTCGCGGCCATCCCCTCTTCCTCACTTGCCCCTGGTTTTACTTTCGTCAGCCTGTCATTTTACGACCCTTGTGGCGTCTTCCCCTACTCCTCCCGTCTAGGTGATATTGTGTTCGATTCGGCGACAGGCGCGGGGGCGGTTTTACAACCCTAGCCACTATAGTGACGTGTCCCAATCAATGCCACGCGCCACGCGCCGCGCCGGGCGGTTTTATGACTTATGCCATATCCAGTTAGTGCACGCTCAAGTTGGGCGGCCGCTTGAGCGGCCCGCTCGAGCGAGAGGTGGGAGAAGGGGAAGTCCGAGTGTAGCCGACTCGAGACGACATCGACGGAGCCGCGAGCCGAAGTTGAGCCGAGCCGAGCCAACCGAGTCTAGCCGATGCCGTCCGAGGCGATCGAGCCGAGCCGAGACCGGGGAGGATGCATCGAGTCAGGATAGGCAAAGGTAGACACTCGTGTTAGCAAATCATTTACTCGGCTTCTAGAACTTGACAGTTTCGATTAAATTGTTATGTCTCATGCAGTTTTTACTGATTCAATTTATTGTAGATTTGAAAACGCAACATTTTAAATAAAACTACTGCAGCAGTGTGTTTCACATTTTGAAGTTGGTTATAGTGAAGAAGGCGAAGGCAGGAAAGAAGAACTTGTGTCTTGTTTTCTAATGCCGTTGAGTTGTTTGAAAAATTCTGTTCTGTCTACGTCGTTAAGGGTAAGTTCACTGCTATTTGAGAGACTTGAAATATTTCGTAGGCTCAGTTTATTTTTCATTTGTGATTATTTTGACTACCGACCTCGATTCTTTGTGGTTATGTTTGCTGCATGGCGCAAGCAAGGTTGTCCCCCAATCCACTTGCCATTGCTTTTGGCTTTCCCTACATTATTAGAAAACTGGTCTTTAATATACATTCTTTCTTCTACATAAGGTTGGTCGAAAATGGATTCCATGCCTGGGCCGAGCTCTGGTATGTAGAAACTGTCATGCAGCATGAGTAAGAGGGGGGGGGGGTGTATAGTATATTTTGTCATTTGAACAAATGTTTGCTGCAGTCATTCTTAAATTAGCAAAGAGTGGAGACTTTCATGATACTTTACAACTGACTTAGAAGTGTGTCTGAAAAGTAATCAGAATTCATCATTTCTTAACAGGCTCCAACTTTTACATGCTGCCGTTACCAATCACTTGCCAGGATGGAAATGGAAACGTCCAACTTCAGCCTGCTGCCCAACGTGTTGCTTGTAAAATGTTTCCTTTACTATCATGAAATTTTTGGATGCTTTTCTATACTAATAACTTATTTCATTTCTGATTGGAGCAGCTAGAGCTGTAGGTAAAACAGGTGCTCAGTGGGACGACGAATCTACACTAGCTCTTTTGAAATATTGTAGGCCACACAAAAGAGCACTTAGAGTGTTAAGAGTTGATAAAAATGTGTGGGCTAAAATATCTGATTTACTTTTTGAGAACCATCAAATGGATTACAGTGCAGAGATGTGCAAAGAAAAAATAAGAAATCTCAAAAGGGGCTTTAAAGATTTCAAAGACGGAAAACAGAAAACATTTGTAGGCTTTGATCTAATGGTAGAAATTTATGACCTACCACTTGGTAAGGAGGGCTAATAATGACGCTTTGATACCTATCAAGTTAGTATTCTTGTATATTCTAATTCCTTTTATTTTTATTTTTGTACTACAGACCAAGAAGAAAGCCAACCACCATTCGGCACAGTATGTTTTCAGGATCAATCACAGGGAAACCTATCAGGTGAATATTTATACTTGATTGTTAATATCATTTTAATCTGCATCAAATTATCAAGTCAAGCACTAAATTAGCTATTTTTTCTAGGAGGATGTGAAAACTCACAGGTATTAAACCAGTGTCAGATACCTCAAGAGTCCAGTACATTAACAGTGGAGGCTAGTTTTCTAGAAGCAGGGTGTAGCACATCCTTTGCAGGAAATGAATTCAGTCACTGTATTGAAGCTATTCAAGCAGCAAAAGTTGTTGCAAGTGACCATGACCCACCACTAGGAGATCCTGGTAAGCAAGATAAGCTGGTATGATAGGTGTCATTTCACTTCACATTTTCTGGACCAAATCATTTTTTTTTTCCAAGGACTTCTTGCTGATTATGAAATATTAAGCCTGGACTCTGAAGACTTTAGTACATTACCAGTGCATGGGAATGACTCTGGTAAGCTCAGTTGTGTATGACATTTCATCGCATTCAATCCATTTATAATGCTCAACTATTTGTACTCAATCGTTTCAACCATCCTCCATTATTTTTTATTTGTGTTGCAGAAGTGGTGTAACCTACTTCTAACCCTCAACAAGCAGGTGAACAAAAAGGAACTGGTGAGTGTTAAGGGGGTTTTTATCTCCCAAAAAGTATTATTGGTAGATTTGTCAATAAAATTATTTTCTGAGCCACTGCAGGTGTAGAGATGGAACCTAAAGGTATATTTGTCAACACAAGGGATGGCTTTACACATAATTTATATCAGAATGTCATGTACTTTACTTAAAAGAGGATCCAGTGTGTACTTCAATTTTTATAGGATATATTTTTTTTTAAAGTTAACGGGCAAGATTTCTGCGGAAAAGTTGGTGATAAAAACTGGTCGATAGCTTGTTTGTTTCAGTTCATCAAAGACTGCAAATTGACACAGGGGTTTTACAGAATGTAAAAAAATAAAAACTATCCTTTATTTGGGTTTTAAAAAATATCATTACATAGCTAGTTATTATGTGAAATTTTTATTTTCCAAATTTTATGAAAACCTCTGTGTCAATCTGTAGTCCTTGATGAACTGAAACAAACAAGCTATCAATCAGTTTTTATCACCAACTTTTCCGCAGAAATCTTGCCCGTTAACTTAAAAAAACAAACAAACATATATCCTATAAAAATGGAAGTACACACTGGGCCCTCTTTCAAGTGAGTACATAGCATTTTGATATTAATTATGTGTAAAGCCACCCCTTCTGTTGACAAATATACCTTTAGGTTCCATCTTTACACCTAGTGGCTCAGAAACTAATTTTATTAACAAATCTAACAAAAGTGCTTCTTGGGGGATAAAAACCCCTTAATATATTCCAGCTGCTCCCACTTTCATTTCTGTTGTCTCACCTTATACTTCTGTGCAGGTGTGGTTCAGTCTACCTCAGTCACCAGAAATAAAAAGACTGGCACAGGTAGCAGTGGTGCTGGCAGTTGGGATAAAAAAATGACCACAGCTGCAGTGGAAAAATTTCTTATAAACAAGAATGAGGTGCAACAGTGCGAGGGATTTCCAATGAGAGTCTTTAAGGATATCAGCGATGAGCTCAAAGCTCAAGGCTTCACAACTACCCCTGGTGCCTGCAGAGATAAATTTTTACAAATGAATGAATTTTTTGTCAGCGTGTTGCCCTCAGGAGGTGTGAGGTCAGGCTTCCAATGGCCATATTATAGTGAATTCTGCAGCATTCATGATTTACCTATAGACTTCATTTTACCAGACAATTTTCAACCTGTCTTATCTTATGAGACCCCTGCTGGTAAGTTTATGCTCATGGAGATAGCAGATTATTTTAAACAAAAGAAATACCTCACTAAGAACTGTTTCTTTTCCTCTTTACTTCAGGAAATCAAATTTGGACAGAGCCTGCTGTATGCCTTCTACTCTCTGAATATAAAGCAAGGAAACAACTATTTGACAGTACAAAATCACCCATTAGACACCAGGTGCTGTTTACTGAAATAGCAAGTACAATGAGAAATTTCCTTATTCCGGTATCTGTAAAACAGTGTTCAGATCATCTGTCAACTTTAAAGATGAAGTTCATGGAGGAATTTGATCGACTCAACGTTAGGAATACTGGCCAGCCACCAACAACCTGGGTGTACTATGAGAAAATGTTGGACATATTTAGCGGGTCACCTAACTTACATACTCCCTTCCTGGTTAGTGCAGGGAAAGGGCTCCTGTATTCTATTCAAGGTAAACAGCAAGCAAGCAGCAGTAGTGGCACGAGGACAAGACCAAGTGAACCCAAACCAACAAATACTCCAAAGAAACCTATGACAGCACAGCAGTATAAGGAAAAACTGATAGATCAAAGATACACTCTCAATGATGAAATCAAAAACTTGAGGGAGACATTTGAGAGAACCAGTGCTGCAAGATCATCACAGTTGCAACAATTAAGAGAAATCTTGCATAGAGCCGTAGAAAAGTAGTAGTCAATCTTTTTTGTTTGCAAAGACTTCAAATATTTTGTTTACATTTTTGTTAAAGAAGTAGATCACAGATGTTTTTGTTTATATTATTTATTATGCTTTCTAGTCCTAGAAGTGAATCACATGAAATGTTTTTTTTGGTAATTTTTGTTTTGATAAAGACTTATATTTGTATTTCGGTTTGTATATGTTAAATGAAAATTCTACTTCAATTTACAGTTCTGTTTACTGTTTGCAACTTTGTACAAGGGAACAAAATAACGCTCAAATTAAATCTTGTTTCAATGCTAAATGCTGAGTTATATATGTGCAAATGCTTCCACCAATAAGTTTCTTTTCTCCACACCTCTGCGTTGGGCTGCCTGTTCTCTGTCATCAATCTCTGCCAATTCTTCATCAGGCTCATGATGCTCATTTCCCAATACTTCATGATTACCGATAGGCCTCCCAAGCTCTTGTTGCTGTTCGGACAGAAAAAAAGTAAGGATAAAGTATAACTTAAAGTATCAATACATATTTGCACATAACTAAATTACTTTCTCATTCTCTCAACTGCTTACAATTAAGAAATCCTCACCGCCACCACCAAGAATGATAAAGTTGTGAATGACAAATGAGGCAGTAATGTGGTCCACTACAATAGCTTGATTTCTAGCATGAAGAAACTTTAATCTGCGCCACTTGCCTTTGGCTCTTCCAAAAGCATTCTCAACCCTGACTCTTGCCTGCGACAATCTCCTGTTGAAGTTCATCTGGTCGTGATTAAGATGCCCATGATTATCAAAGGGAATCATCATCTGAAAGTAAAATAATACAAAAAATTACATAGATGGCAACAAAATAATTAATGATAACAGAATGATCAACAAGAATACTAAAAAGTGCTTACAAAGTCGGTGAGTACATATGCTCCATCACCTACAAGGTGCTCATCAGGGTCCAACCTTGTGCCTTCGAGCAAATCATGGTGAAGGGCACTTCTCCTAAATACCCGTGCATCATGCATGCTGCCAACTTCTCCTACAACCAGGTCTCGTACAAGGAGAGTGTTATCCACCACAGCCTGTACATTGATACTATATGATCTGTAACGGTTTCTGTATGAGGCCGCATTTTGAACAGGACCAGTTATGTAGACATGGGTGCCATCGATGCACCCAACTATCCCAGGGAATCCAGTGGCTTCCAGAAATGCAGTACTAACGGTAGCTCTTTCTTCTGCAGTTGGCCAAGTCATATATACTTCTGACATTTCTCGCAGTGACATAATCACATAGGCGAAGAAGTAATAAAGGACTCCAGGTGTCACACCGAATTGAGGAGATATGCTCCGGAAGCTGTCTGGTGTGGCAAGAAGCCAAATAACCATCAACATAATGTCCTCAATAGGAGTCCGTTCCCTGATGAGCCTTCTCTTGCTGATTAGGTGCTGTCTCACCGCTCTGCATAAGTTCTATACAAACAAACATGAAAAAACAAAATTAAACATATTTGAGTTACCAGTGCATCACAATAAATAGCTGACACAAAAAAACAGTTAAAAGCTTACCTCAAAGATGCGCCTCGACATTCGGAAGTGTAGTTTGAAGCATTCATCGTTCATTGCGTGGAATTCATTAATATTAATGGTAATTTTGTCCCACACAACACCCTCTGTAAGAAAATCAGTGTCAGTGCCAGAGAAAATGTCAAGAAACAGTCAAAGTTTACTTCATGACAGAACCTACCTAACCCCTCATCTTCCTCCATCTGCAGTATTTCTTGAGCAGCTATTTCGGCTGCAATCATCATTAATCTCTCTGCTTCCTCTTCCTCCTCTGCCAAAATTTCTAGAGCTATAGCACCGACTTGCAGGACAGGATTTTCCATAGTTGATTTATTTTGGACAAAAGTACTCTAACTTTTACTCAACGCGCTTTTGCCGCTTTGTTTATGTTTGGATATGCAGCCGATGCATCCTCCCCGGTCTCGGCTCGGCTCGATCGCCTCGGACGGCATCGGCTAGACTCGGTTGGCTCGGCTCGGCTCGGCTCAACTTCGGCTCGCGGCTCCGTCGATGTCGTCTCGAGTCGGCTACACTCGGACTTCCCCTTCTCCCACCTCTCGCTCGAGCGGGCCGCTCAAGCGGCCGCCCAACTTGAGCGTGCACTAACTGGATATGGCACGGGAGCATGGCAATTCTGCGTGCAGCGAGGCGCTGCACGGGTGTGCGGGCGGGCAGGCCCAAGATACGGCGCGCGACAGCCCCGTCGCGGCCGTTGCGGGTGAGCAGAGTCCGTGGTGCACACACTTATCAGGGTTAGTGAGGCAGGACGCAGGGCAGTGTCCCCGGGGTCCAGCAAGCAGGGGTGGGGTCAGTGCCCCTGTACTAACCGGCAGTGTGATCACTCAAGGAAAAGTTCGAAAACAAGATGAAGATGAAAGTACGCCAAGCGAGGTAGTGGAGCGTGCAGCGCCGAGCTCTCGGGAGGAGCACGGCGCTGGGCTGCCGCCGCCGTCGCAAGGCAGCCAGGTCCACGCCGCCGCGGAAACGGCCGAGCTTAGCGTACCTGAGGTTTCACCTCTGGCTGCGCACGGTGAGGCCGCCGACCCGGGGCGCCAGGTCAGCGCTAAGCCGTTGAAGGCAAGAGTGCAGGACCATGGTGGACAGACGCAAGATGGAGGCACGGCGCCAGCCGCAGCAGGACCTTTGTTTGCCCGGGATGAGGGCAGTGCGCCCTCTGGGGACAAAGGGGAGGCCGGAGAAGGGGAGAACCCTGACCCGGCGCAGGCAGGCGCACATATAAGCGAGAGCTTCGGCGCCTATGGTGACGCGCCGAGGGAGGCTCAGCTTATCGCGGTGCGAGGAGAGGTGCTGTTGCCGAATTCGAGAGGGAGTTTGACACGGGCGGACTGCGACAGCCCGCCCGAGTGGTGCGCGTGGTGTGACCTCTGGCCCGACCCCTTGTACGGGTGTTGTGACCTTACACCCATGGTCTTGGTGAGCGCGGGGCCGCGCGCGGCGGGGGAGGCGGGCAGCGTCTGCAGCCCTGCCCCTGCCGGCGAGCAAGGCCTGGAGGGGGGAGGCCACGGCACGCGCTCGGCAGACAGCGGCGGCGCACCGGCTCAGCTGAGCCGCGCCGCCGCCGAGACGCGAGGCGAGTTAGCCGCGCCGCGGGCCGCGAGCCCGGGCCGTGGCGAGCCGGCCGCGCCGCGCGGCGCGGCGGCCGGCGAGTCGCAGGGTGACCAGATGAGCACAGCAGAAGAGACTACAGAACTGAGACTGGAGTGCAGCGCCCAGTGCGATGGGTGGCCTACCCAGCCGGGGCTCCTGTCGGTCGGTATCGGTCCGTTGGAGTCGGAGCCTGGCCGCTGCTCAGTAGCCGGAGCCGAGGGACCGGACCCGATCGGGCGCGAGCGATGGACTGCCCGCGCCATGCTGCCTGCACTCGGGGCGGATAGGGCAGAGAGCTCGGGTGACTTGCCGTTTCCCGATCTCGGCTTGACGCCGCCGGACCAGAAGCATCACGAGGAGGCGCAGGCAGGTTTGCCTATCTGCCGGGCGCTGCCCTGGCCGGAGGCGGCGGGTGAGGGGGAGAGAGGAGGCGTGCAGCCCCCTCGCGAGCCCGACTCGCAGCCGCTTGGGTCGGGTGGCGCCGGGCAGGAGGAGTTGCCTACCTGCCAGGCGACAAGCAGCAAAGTGACAGAAGTTATGTTGGATCAAAAGGTGCGGGTTGGCCCGGGCGTGACCAAAACAGTGTGGGTCCAGACCTCGCTGCCGGCCGGCACCGATGTTTCCGAACTGGGCTTAGGCGAGCTTCGTATGGACGGGATCAGTATGAGGATGGCGTCAAGGAGAGCCGACGCGCAAGGAAAGGTAGCCGTGGAAATTACAAATTATCAGCCAAATAAGGTAACTTTGCCTGTCCGAACGGTCGTTGCTGAAGTTGAAACAGCGGAGGATGCAAATTTGGCAGATTGGGAAGAATGGCAAGACCATTTGGACAAGGCATATACAGGTGAAGTTTCCACGGCCCCGTTTCTGAGCAAGTTCGACTTGTCGCACCTTCCTGCAGACGAACGGGAGCGGGTTGGGCAGACGTTGGAGGCCCACAAAGATGCCTTTATTGAGGACGGGAAGTTGGCGCCGCCGACCCCCGTCCTCCAGTACAGGGTAAACGTGGACCCGAGCATCAGGCCCGTCTTCCGCCCGCCTTACGGAGTAAGCAAGGCCCTAGAAGACGACTACGACGAGGAGATCCGGAAGTGGCTGGCGCTGGGAGTGATTGAGGAGGCAAACAGCCCTTGGGCCGCGCCTATCTCAATGGTCACCCGCGTGCTCCCTTCCGGAAAAGTGAAGAAGAGACTCGTCTGTGACTTGCGCGCGCAGAACGCGCACACATTGCGTGACAACTTTCCACCCCCAAATATGAACTAGGTAGATGTACGCCAGACCACGTCTCGCGTAACAGGCTTCGCGATATCTCACGAAACACTGTTGCGCTGCGACGCGCCTGGCATACATCTACCTAGGCCTGCGGCGCTGACACCCGAGTCGGGTATCGCAAATATGAACACAAAGATACGGGCCTCCGCCCGTCAACTTCCTGTC